CAATCCTTTCTCCTCTGTTCTCCTCTCAGGATTTTGGGCGTGCAGGCACATGCACCTGGCATGAGTTTTAAGTCGCCAGGTCCAGGACTTGAACTGTAGTTGACCATGTAGGAGTCTTGTGCCTTAACTGCTATGTCACCTGCTGGTCCTAACCATACCTCCTTTGATGTTTTTAGTATGTTAAGTTCTTATTTTAGGAAAAATTCTCAAAGTTTGATTTTCTTTACTTCATTCTCCATTGCCCATTCTGAAAACAAAACAATAAAACAAAACAAAACAAAACTAGCTCAATAATTAATTTAATTATCTGAAACATTTTGATAGAGATCTATGCCTAGCCCATGTTTTCTTCACTTGCAGATAAAGGTAAGACTATTTTATAATGGGTACCAGCAGATGGTATAGCGGTTATGTCACTGGACTCCCACGTAGTTGATGTGGTTCGAGTCCCAGACTAGTGGCTTAAAACCCACGCCGGGTGGTATGTATATATGCCCAAAATTCTGGGAGGAATATGGAGGAGGAAATATTGTGGCCTGACCATCCTCACTGAGGGTAATTTCTTGCTTTCTGTCCCTGTCTCTCTCTGTCCCTCTGGTGAGCACATGCATCCTTATAGCAAAAGTCTCTTAAAGAAAAAAGGGATATTTTATTATAAAAATTATATTTATTTTAGTTTTTCTGTTTGTAGATGGGGGTAAACCTGTGTTTTTCTGGTGCTAATGCTGAATAAAAAAGTAGAGGTTTTTGTAGCTCAACCACTACGCATCACAAAGACACAAATGTTTTCTTGTTGGAGACTGTGTAGAGTCCAGAAATGGCATTGCATGACAAGAACTTGCATGTCTATGTGTGTGTGTCTGTCTCATTCCCTCTCCTTATATACCCACCAGGATTCACTCATGAGGTCCTTTACCCTGATGACTTTTACTAATGTTAATCACCTTCCAAAGACCCTACTTTTTAATCCCTTAGTTAATTAAGTTTCTTCCCTCTCAACACTGTTACTCACCAAATGGCTGATCAAACTTCTTAACATGTATTTTTTGGGATATATTCATGCCTTAGCAACCTGTATGTAACTTTAAAAACTATTTATTTTATTTTATTTTATTCCATTTGTTGTTATTATTTTTTAAATTTGACCAGAGAGAGACAGAGAGAGGAAGGGAAAGTGAGTAAGCAAGCCATCAGGTCCAGAACTCAAACTGCAGTTGGCCATGTGGGAATTTAGCGCCTTTCACCAGCATGCCACCTGCCAGCCTCTGTATGTAGCTTTTTAAAAAGAAAAATCAGTGGCTTATTTTTTATGCCAAGTAAAAAGCAACCAATATGAATGGAGAAAATCATTACGATACATATGAAGGTACCTCTCCAGCTTTACAAAATGGACATGAAAATCTTATTAATTACACCGTTGGCAACTATTTTGTTTTGTTGTTGAGACTTGATTTTTCTATAGGTTGGTGATTTGAATGTGATTATGTATTATTTAAAGATTTTAAAATTATGTTTCCTCAATTTCTTTTACAATGCACAGAGAAAGCAACCAGTGAGATGAATACAGCCGAGGACTGGGGCCTCATTTTGGATATTTGTGATAAAGTTGGTCAGTCTCGCACTGGGTAAGTTTTCAAAGTTTTAGATGGTTTTATTTTTCCTTTTTATAAACATGAAGAAGGGTTTGGAAGTCAAGCATATTAAAAAGAAAATATTGTGACTAAAGATTTGAAGAATCATCTCATTTAGATTACTCTTTAAAACAAGATGACTTGACTGGTAAAAATAAGATTCTTTAGTCAGACATCCTTTCCCATATTTTCTGAAATCTAATTGTTTTATTAGTTTTCAGAGTCATCATGGATTTCTATTACCAAGTGTCATGATTATTTCTGAGCTTTTTCCTTCTTTGTCACATCCTCAACCTTCCACCCATCTTGTCAGTGACTACCAAGAGAGAAAGAGAGAGATTAGGGAAAATGAATCTTAACTGTTTGGCGTGTATTAAGAGCTCTCTAAACAGTTCATGTGTGGATTAACGGGTGTGCATATGAATAATTTCCTTAGATTTTTGAGCTTATACATCTAGCCATTAGTAGTCTGATTTACTGCATTGTGCCACACAAATAGTCTTGTCTTGTTTGTACTTTCATTTGTAAATGTTTAGGAAGCACTGGTACTTGGTTCTTCTGGTGATACAGCTTAACCCTCTCTGCCTTCTTTGCCTCGTCTTCCTTCACCCCTAAATACAGATGTTCTTTAAACTTTGCTTGATTTATTTTTCTTTTTCTTTACTTTTTCTTATGTCATCTCATAGTTTTCAGGTGTCTTTATGTGGGTGACATATGTGTTTTTAGCTCTGATTCTTTCTAAGCACAAGTCCTATGAACACATCATTTCTGGATATCCTACCCTAAGCCTTAATTTCACTATCTAGACACCTGAACTCCTGTCTTTTTTCTCTTTAAACTACTTTCCCTGTTTTGTTCCCTATTTCTTTTTTTTTTTCCTTTTTTTAATTATTATTTTTATTATTTATGCATTCAATCACTATACATCATTTAGATTTTAAAGTGACTTTACCCACCATCATATGCACCTCAGTTCAGTCTAGTTGAGAATACTATACACATCCTCATCAACAGATAATAAACCATGTCTGTGTCCTATAAATGTCTTACCTCTCTATTTCCCCCCCAATTTTCCTTTCCTTCACTCTTCCCCTTCCATGCTTTCCCTGTACTTTGTCTCTAGTGTCCATGACAATTTTTAATGCTTTTATGTTCTCTAGACTTTCAGTCTCTACCATAGAGTGTAGACAGATGGTATATGTTAAGTGGAGATATACAATGCCTCTCTTTCATAGCCCGACTTGCTTAACTCAGCAACAGATCTTCTATATTTGTCCACTTTCTATCTAATTCCAGGGCCTTGTTGTTTTTTATGACTGAATATTATTCCATGGAGTATATGTGCCACACTTTTCAATCCATTCATCTGTTTATGGACATTTGAGTTGGTTCCATGTCTTAGCAATTGTGAATAATGATGCAATAAATATAGTTGTGCAGGTGCTTTTCTGACTAAGCCTTCTCCTGTCCTTTGGGTGGATAGCCAGGAGTGGAATTGCTAGATCATATGACAGTTCTATTTGAAGGTCTTTGAGGAATGAGGAACCTCCATATTGTTCTTCAAAGTGTCTGGACCAATTTATGTTCCTACCAATACTGTGGGAGTATTTCCCTTTCACCACATCCCCTCCAGCACTTACCATTTTTTTTTTTTTTTTTTTTTTATTTTTCCTCATTCCACATGGGGTTGGGGGTGTTGTTTTTGGTAGAGGTTTCTTCCTATAGGGCGCGTGCGCTCGCCAGAAAGGCAAAGAGAGACAGAAACAGAAAGCAAGAAATCATCCCCCAGGGGGGATGGCCAAGCCACAGTCCCTTCTCCTCCATTCTCCTCTTGGGATCTTGAACGTAGTCTTCTACATGGGAATCCAGTGACATAGCCATTACGCTAACTGCTGGTCCTTCATCCAGTTCTTAGTCATTTGGTAATGTGTTCATTTTTGGGTAATTTTTTGAAGAGTTATTCTGTGACTGTGAGCTCGTGTATTTCCTTACTATTTTCTTCCTTCTATTGTGTCCTCCAGTGTGGGAATCACAGAATATGTTTTTCAGATGGATTTATGAAGGGAAATTTCAATCTTCTTGCAACAAGTATAGTGAGGGGCAAAGAACTGTCTAAAACTCACACTACTCAGATGTCTAGCCTCTGTGCACCTAGTCTTCTCTGGGAAGTGGGTACGGGGTGAGCAGTAAACCAGGGAAGTAAAGAAAAAGAAAAAGAATGTAGAAAATAGAAATAGAAAGAGCAAAGAATAGGGAAGGAAAGAACTAGAACTAAGAGAGGAGGGAAAAAACCAGAAGTCACATGGTAAATAATGAAATTGGATTAAAGATAGAAAACCATGTAGCACGCAAGTATGTCTTACAAAGGGCCAACACAGTCAGAGGTGAACTGGCCTGTTTGCTTTCTGTCCTAGTTGAGGGAAGAGGAGACAAATTAACAAGAGAAAGGCACAAACAGGGGAGAAAAGCTGTTTTTCTGTTTTTTTTTTTTTTTAATTTTTTTTAAGAGAAAAAAATAGAAGGGGCAGAGAAGAGCCAGAGGAGGTCAGTGAAACCTGCCTACCTGGCTAGCATTGACATCTGGAAGGGGAGTCCCTTGCTGAGGGCCCTCACAGCCCTGAAGCTACACCCAGAGGGCCAACACCTGTTCACTATTTCTGTTAATGAAAAGATGATTCTTTCATTCCCCTAAAACAACAAAGTCACCTTCACATTTATTTTGCAACTAGATTCTGTCAGCCTTCTTTCATAGATTGGTAGGTAACATCTCTCTCAAAATGTTGATGTTATATTGGGACCAGCAGTTAGTGTAATGGCTATGTCACTGGACTCCCATATAGCCGACCGAGGTTCGAGTCCTGGACCTGGTGGCTTAAACTCACACCGTACCCAAGATCCCGAGAGGAGAATGGAGGAGAAGGGATTGTAGCGTGGCCATCTCCCCTGGGGGGTGGTTTCTCGCTTTCTGTCTCTCTGTCTCTGTCTTTCTGGCTAGCGTATGCGCCCTATAGCAAAAACCTCTTCAAAAGAAAATGTTGATGTTAAAAAGTCTCCTTGATCAAGTTCTCAAGCATGGCCATATAAGGCAGGGGCAGTTTGTCTTCAGGATCTGTCTACCCTTCACTCTATCCATGTTTGTTTCCTAATATGCTCTGCCTTTCAGATTCTCAGAGATTCTCCCTTTTTTTGTCATTATGGCTTTGATTTCTTTTTTTTTTTTTTGGAGAGGTGTTTGCTATAGGGCACGTGTGCTCGCCAGACAGACAGAGAGATAGAAAGCAAGAAATCACCCCCAGGGGGGATGGCCACACCGCAATCCCTTCTCCTACATTCTCCTGTTGGGATCTTAGGCACGCATGCACATGCGCCCGACTTGAGTTTAAGCCGCTGGGTCCAGGACTCGAACCGCGGTTGACTACATGGGAGTTCAGTGACAGCCATTATGCTAACTGCTGGTCCCTTGGCTTTGATCTTTTATAATATTAAAATGTATCCTGTTCTTTCTGATTTCATTCATTAATTTAATTGAAATTTTAGTAACTCCATGCTACGTATTCATTCCTTTTGTCCATTTTCATTTGCTCCTCTTTACTTGAGACATTCTCTACCTTGCCTAGAATAGTGAATTAACCTTTGGGGATTTCTTTGCATTTCCATCTTTTCTATCTAACTCTTTTATCCAGTTGCCATGTGACAACTGTATTCAGGTTACTTCCCTACCTTCTGTACTAAGTTAAGTTTAAACTCCTTAGTCTTCTGAATAATTTGTTTTCCTTTTCTTCTGTATACTATTCATTTCAACTCTGTGATTTGGATCATAAATGCTTTTATACTTTAATGTTTTTGGTCTTTTTATTCCTTCAGTAGATAAAATTTTCCTCTTTCATTTTCTGTCTGTGTCTGTATCTTTTCAGGCCTAATTGAAGTATTTCTTCTGCAAAGCCTTTGCTTATTGCCTTTACTCACAACAATATGATCCTCTGAATTCTCAAAGCACTTTATGAAAATGATTCTTATTTGTGTTTTGGCTTGTATTTTGGAAATTTTTCTGTAGAAAACTTAGATTCATGGAATGAATGATTCAGGAATGTTTGTTGTGCTGAGGGAATAAGCAATTAGTGGGTGAGGGCATGGACTCTGGAGTGAGCCTGCCTGCCTGGGTTTAAATGCTGTCTCTAACCGCTTATGTCATACTGATGTAAATTTACCTTTCTGGGCCCAGTTTTCCTAGTTTGTCATATGTGCATGAAGAGTCTTTTTTATAGGGAGGGTGTTATGACTGTGATATTAGTTAATACATAAAGTATTTTTAACAGTATCAGATGTATGGTTAAATGGGTGCTACTCTGCTTACTTTTGATTAAAGTCCTATTTAATGACAGTTTGCTGAGGATTGGTATCAACTTACTTCCATTCCTATGTATTTTGGAGATAAACCTTTTTATCTAGCATTCCATTTGCAAAGTTCCTCCTCTTTCTCTTCACTCCATGACTTTCTGTTTATCTTTACTCTGGCGTTCTTTATTTTCTCAATGCTGTTCGTAATAATTTGGCCAGTTGCTTGAAGTCAAAAGGCAAAAAAGCTATTTCATTATTGGAACTATTCCATATTTTTCTAGTTAATAAATAGATTTTTAACCCATGTGAAATTGTGATATATGGCATTGTACAAAATCTGTAAATTTACTTAGGAATATTTTAAAAAATACTTTTTAATTGACAAATAGTAATTGTGTATACTTATGAGGTCCTGGTGATGTATTGATAGATATATACATTGTAGAATGAATGGTTCAGTTAAGCTAATTAATGTATCTTTCACCCTACAGATTATTTTTAATGGTGTATACTTTTAAGATCTACTCTTAGCAATTTGGAGATGTACATTATTAGCTGTGGTCATCATACAGTTCAATAGATTACTAAATCTAGCTGAAACTTTGTACCCTTTGATCATCATCTTCCCTTTCTGCACCACCCTCCTAGCTTCTGGT